ATTGCTCGCTTCCAACAGCTTCCATTCACTGTGGCTTCAGAGGAGGAGGAATAGGCAGAGTGGTAGCCAGACAACACCTCAGTCCTTTCTGTCTGAGTATAAATTTGGAGACCTTGTCCTTGAAATCTGCTCTGACATGGATAGGGAAACCCTGTCAATCTGAGCTGCCATCATAATTTTTTTTCAGGAACCTCAGCATGTGAATTCATAGTTTTATTCAATCCTGAAGAAACAGGGCCTCAGCCATTTGTAACCCTCAGAATATTGACCTCTTAATGCTTTTTTGTACATTGCATGAACACATAAAGAAACAGCTCCTCCTATCTTCTATATGGCTTACCTTTTGCCAGTAATATAATTTACATTATTTGTAAATAAAAACATACTTACATTCCTATACTTACTACATGATAGGGAAAAAAATGTCTTAACTGTGAAACTGCAGCAACAAGAATATTTATATATACACAATAACCAAAACTGTAAATATTTGGCAATTATCACTGGGACTAATTCTAAAAATTCATCCTCATTTATAACTAGTCAGAATGTCACTCATGAGACATTGTTTTGAAGACATTAAATTTCTCTTTATTATTATTATAATCAATTTGAAAAAAATTTGTTCATAAAGATTTAATTGTGCCCTTACCAATGTGTAGGCTTTCATTGGTAATCAAAGTTTGTTTAGATTCCACTATCTGTCTCTGACACTTTGCCTTGCTTTCACGAGTGCTGCATTCTGCTGTCTTATCAGAATACATTCATTACAAAAATGTAATAGACTGTTTCTTAATAGACACCTTCAGTGTTTAAATGATTTCTGAATGCTTTAAAAGTCAGCAAATTAAATTGCCCATTTTTACCTATTCACCAGCAAAATCCAAAAGAAAGAGATAATACAAGACAAATAATTATCATCACAACTTTTACAGTAGAAGCTTAAAAATAAAGTAAATTAATTTAAATGTCAACTTATTGTCAGGTTATGTTCTTAATTTTTTTCATTTTTTTCCTCTTCAAATGTCAGCCTTGAATAAAAATTGTTGTACAACATTAAACTGTGTACCCAAATATTCACTACAAGATAAACTTTTAGAAAGGAGAAGGTTGACTCTGCTTTTCAAAATATACAGGTATTTCAGAGTATCTTCTTCCTCTGATATTGGCATTTGATGAATACAGGCAAGCACTGTAAGTTTGTCCAGGCTGGGAACCATTTGGGCATAAATATTTGCATGGCTGGATTGTGAATATGTGTTGGAGATAAGCCAAACTCCCTAAACTTATTTTTCATTTTTATTTATGTAAAAAGAAGGAGAAAACACCAAGATACAAAACAGGCTAAAACTTAAGACTGCTCTTCTAGTCACCTTAGTATCTATTATTTTTCATAAGGAAAAATATGTCCTTTCCAGCATATTGAAATTAAATGGATGTCAAATATCACTGCTATGTGCCAGTTCCCCATAGATGTAGAGTTTCTTCATTATATGTGATTAATTCAGGAGACAGAGAAGATCTAGTCTATAATGTTCCTCTTGCTCTGGTTACATTCATTACAAGGAATTTTTTTGGCTCACTTCCTTCCAAGTTACTAAACTGCTGTTGTTCCTATACATTCATGTCACAATTTGTAAACTTTGGTGTTACCATTCTTACATTTAATAGTGTTTTCACAATTAATTAATACACTTCTGTGTTACTAAGCCTATTCAAATTCAATTCCAGATTCTGCTGTGAACTTTAATGAGTTTATCAGGCAGGATCCTGCAGGGAAAGTTGGCAGGGCACCACATGGAGTCTTGTGTTTGTTTGACTCTGGCAAGTCACTTCTCCATCTCTCACCCAACATCTGCCCATTTTGCATAGTCAGTGAGCAAATCCTTCACCTGTCATGGCCTGTGCCAGCAGTGCACTGTTGGAGCTGGCAGTTATTGGAAAGCTGAATCAGGGCTTAGAACTCTGCTAAGACTTTGCCAGAAAACCAGGCAGTTTAGCAATGATAAAAGAGTAGACTGGGGAAGGACTCAGTGCTAGATATTCTCCTCAACAGAGTGCCCCACCTCCCTCCCATGCATAGGTCAATGGTCAGTATCACAGGATGTTTAAAGATGAAGTTTCTTTTTCAAGAAATTCATATGAATTTTCAGGAAAATTTCAGGAAATTTCACATGCTTTGGACTGACATCGCTACCTTAACCTGGGATGGAACACCTCTCAAAACAACATATGGTATCCAGTCAGTCTCTGTGAGCCGTCTTTGTTTCACCATTTTTGTACCACTGAAGTGCTCAATGTTGATGTGGGTTTTGCCTATAAATGGTAGTTTCAGTGCATGTGTCTGTATTCCTGACATAGAGGGAGACTGAGAAAGAGGCAGGAAATTTTACTCTGTGTACATATACGCACTGAACACTTCAGGAATACATTATTTAATCTGTGATTTGATAGCAATCGCTGTCAGTTACCCAAATCCAATATAAACTAATTTTCTGTTATTTTCTTCCTTTTTTTTTTTCTTTTTTTTTTTTTTTTTTTTTTTTTTTTTTTTTTTTTTTTTTTTTTTTTTTTTTTTTGCCTTCAGTTTTTAGCACCCCTGGCACAAAAGACTAGAAGTGAAATATTAACAGAAATCTTGTGCCAGAAAAGTTCAACTCTAGAATACAATTTTAATTTCCCAAGTTTCTAGTGTGTCATATGATACTTGGTCAAACAGTAATACTCAAGCCAGTAGTGTGTTTTGCACTAACAAAGAAAATTTAAACTGCTTCTTTTATGCTAAAAGACAAAATAATTTGCCTGAATTAACTGACAAGTGGCAAGTTTGTTACTATGCAGTGGATAAAGAAGGCAATGAATTGTAAATCCCCTGTGAAACATGCTTTTTATACAAGCTCTAGGGAAGTTGTTGATGTGGTCAAAAGCTCCTGTTTCTGATATCATTACACTTTCTAGTTAAGTCTTATTTTAGTTATGCCCATCTTTATTTTGGTCTTATCATTCAAGCATGATACTTGCTGTATCACAATATGCATAGATGACACAATAACAAATTGGCTCCTGGCAGTACTGGTGTAGGATTGAAGTCTAAACTTTTATTAAAAGTTCTGTTATACTCAGCTATGGTGATCTAAAATAGACCTGGAAACAATTTTGGATCTACAATATTAATGATGTTCTGTAGCTCATAAAGGCTAAGGAATCTGAAAAGTGCATATATCAAATGTATGTCAGAATTGGAAATTACTGATTCCCAGTTAAGACAATTTAAACACAACACCCAGATTTGGTGATGCTGCATCAGTGAGATATTTGGCACTGAAGACTGGACAGTCAAGCTAGGATGGACATCTGCTATCTCATTTTTGAAAACCCTTTTTTTTTTTCCCTCTTCCATCTTCCTAAATGAAACACTTGAATCTTTTCATTTGCTTGGCTGTAGGCCAAGTTTGTTCTTCAAAGCAGAGTTGTCTACTATAATGTGTCCTAGAAGTGACAGCGACCTTCAGGATAAATGAGAACAATGATATGGGAAAGAACTGCAGTGGAATATTGGACTTACTGCAGTATTGCACAGGTATGACCCAGAAGACAATCTGCATGTCCTGGAGCAATGGCATAACTGGGTTTGGCTGGGATGAAATTTCACAGGTGAATTCCTTTGTCACAACCCATGTGGGGATTTGCCTTTGGGATTGAAACAGTGTGGGTAACACAGCAGTGTTCTGGCTGATGCTGGGCATCTCTTGTATCAAGGTTTTCTCATTCTCTTCCCCCACCCTCCCAGGTAAGAAGGTTGGGATTAAGAACAGTCTGGGAGGAAACATATCCACGACACCTGCCCCAAACTGACCAGAATTATTCCATGATGTCATATTCAGCAATGAAACTCATAGTAAGGAGAAAGAAGAAAAAAATTCAGAGTTATGGCATTTGTCTTTTCCATTTGCCTTCGCATGTTATGCAAGCTGAGGCTCTTACCAGGAGACAGCTGGACATCTGCCCACCAACAGGAAATAGTGAATTAATTCACATTTTTGCTTTACATGCACACAAAGCTTTTGTTTTTCCTGTTAAATAATTACTATCTCAATTTACAAGTCCTTTTACCTTCCTTCAACTTCCTCCAGCTCCACCTTCCAAGAGGGGAGTGAGGAAAATGCAGGGTCCGTATTTGGATGCTCTCTGGAGTCAGCCCATCACAACTGGCCTAATAGACTAGGAAAGTTATGGCTGTTATCAGAGGCAGAACACATTGGGCAAGAGCAGAGGACCTTGCATATTCTCTTTTTTACATAACACACCTTATATAATGTTTCCAAAATTGACTTTTTTTCCAAGTACAGTGGGGAGGTGTTGGGACCCAACTTAAGGGGTCTGCTTCTTAATGTGCACTGGGTTCTGACTGTAGTTGGTGAGGGTGTATGGGCTCTCCTCAATCCCCCAAACACCTGAGAGGCAGTGGGGTACCTTGCCTGGGCTCTGACTGCTGGTCCAGAAGACCCCAGGGTATGCTGTAGGTCTGATGTATCTGCCAGCCCCACATGCCCTTGCTATCTTAAACAGCTCCATACCTATCTAAGAGTGTCTGAATTTTGCCACTGCCCAATGCAAGCAGAGGAGGAGATCCTATTGGCTCCTAAAGTTGATGGAGCAGCTGAATTGCTCTCTGGGCTCTGTTGGCTGAGCTGACCAGATGAGCCAAGCAAGGGGATACCTATAAATGGATATCTGATGGCACCTGGGACACTCAAAGGGACCCAGGACTACCCAAGCACCTATGACACACAACTTCTAAGAGTACATGACTCCTCGGAGTGGCACCTGGAGGAAAAGCAGGGTGCACTAAATGTCTCATCCCACTGGAGATGACATTCAAAAAACTGAAATGCATTTCTTAAATCTCAACCAACCACAGTGAAGACTTGGACACTAAAAACAGAGGTGAACATCTATTTGTAAATACTTAAAATTAGGAGTATTAAAATGAACCCCACCTGATAAAGGCAGGATAACTGTGCCCAGGTTGGGTGGGTGGCTGGTGCCATTTCATGGAGCTCTGCTCTACTTCCAGCTGCTGGTCCAGGCAAGCACCACCATCCCACAGGTTCTGTGCAGCAGCTGCCAGCCCTGGGAAGATGTCTCAGATATCTGTGGGTGTTGCAAATAACACATGACACGTCTGAGTAGGCAACTGACTCAAGCCTCAAGATCCATTCAAGCAGCTTATCAAATAAAAAAAGGAAACTCCAACACTGATGTGTTATGAAATGCTATGCTTAGAATCTGCAGAATTGCAAATAATAGAGCTAAAATGCCTTTTGACTATATTTGCTGCAATTAACTAAAATGGAGTCATCATATAATCATCAATAACTGAAGGAAAACAACTGTTGTGCAAAACCTGAGAGCTGTAAGTGATGCTAAAGACACCATCAAAAATTCCACCAAGAAGACAAAAACCAAATGAAGTCTACTGTGAATTTCTTAAAAAAAACCTGAAAGCAATCTGGCTGATCCCATTAAGCAAATAAACTATACATGTGATGGAGGGATATTGAATTGATTATATGAGTAAACAGGTCGACAACTCCCTGGCTGAGTCTCTGAACTCTTCAGGTTTGGTTTCAATAGTTTGCCTAATTGTCATTAGTATATGTATTTTTGGCAGTGTTATCTGGATTCCACTGAAAATCTTTTGTAACTAATACTGCCAAAATTACACTGCTTGAAAATTTGCTACATCTCCACATTTTCATTTACATGATATTTAGGCATTGTAATTTTTGTGCGATGTTCACTGTGCAAACATAGCTATTATACCTTTTCTAAATGCATAAGCACAGTTTTTTTTCCTTCTCCCTGGAACATCTGCAATAGTTTCTGAAGTTGATGACCCTTTGATGCTTGCCATATCCTCACAGCTAACACATAGCTTGCCTGAACTCTCCAAATTAAAGTGCAAACTGAACCAGATTCATAGAAATCAACAGTGACTGTTCCAGCCTAAGACATCCCTGAAAAGAGGAGAATGGATTTGTTTTACTTTGCTTTTGAGAAGAATAGGAACTCCACATATCCAGCTTCACACAGTAATGAAGAGGTGAACGGTGCTAGCAAACTGCTGTTGTAGAAGTCTGAGAGTATGTGACTTCATTTTAGGTTCTGTGATAACAATTCACACATTTCCTGGAAAAACTTGATTTTTTCTTATCTGATTGCCCATGACAACTAGAAAAGGTAAAAATCATAGACCCTGGAAGTTTGTAAGATCACAAAATGTTAATTAAAAGCAGAGATGTTGAACTTCAGAGAATTTGTTGATAAATTTCATCAGTATAGACTCATAGAATTGTAGAATTTTTTTGGTTTGAAAATACATCTGGAGACCATCAAGTCCAATCCTTAATCCAGCACTGCCAAGTCCACCATGAAACCGTATCCCTACATACCACATATCTTTTAAATATCTGCAGAGATGGTGGCTCAACCAAAAGTCTGGGCAACATATTCCAGTGCTTGGCCGCCCTTTAGGTGAAGAATTTTATCCGAATATCTGATCTAAACCTCCCTTGGTGTAACCTGAGGCTATTTCCTCTTGTCCTTCACTTGTCACCTGGTAAACGAGAATACCCTCTACCAAATACAACCTCCAGGTTGTATTGTACTGTAGTGAACAGTAAGGTCATCCCTGAACCTCCTTTTCTCCAGGCTACAAATCTCTCTCACCTGCTCCTCATCAGATTTGTGCTCCAGACCCTTCCCCAGATCTCTTGCCCTTCCCTGGATATGCTCCAGCACCTCAATGTCCATTTTGAATTGAGGGTCCCAAAACTGGTCACAGGATGCTAGGTGTGGCCACCCCAGTGCCCAGCACAGAGGGACAACCCCCACCGTGCCACATCCCCAGCCCAGACCACTGTCCCAGATATCCTCAGCCCTGGCCAGCTCTCCTGTGGGGCAAGTAGGGCAGTGGAAGCACTCTCCATTGTACCCTGATGGGTTTTGGAGAGTGCTTTGTGGGTCCTGAGGTCACTGCTGATTCCAACGGCGAGGAAATGAGGAGAGGCACTTGTTGGGGGCAAAACTCTGATGCTTATTGAGGTCCTGAAAATCAAACAGCATGCAAGGGGGCCAGCCAACAAGAGCAACTGGGGGCTGCTGGCAGCATGTTATATAGGGAGAGGGAGGGGAACCGATCAGCCAATGGGAAAACATAAAGGAGTGGCTCTTGTGGGGATTGACATCTGGGGGATCCAGTGAGGGGGAGACAGGGGAGGGGCCCAGGCCCTCATCCAATCACTCGGTGCCCTGGATGGAAGTTTCTAGAGGCAGGGGAAGGGACACCGAGTGACGGACAAGGCACCTGGGCGGGGACAGGGGACTGACTTGGCATTTTCTAGAGAGATTGACACATGAGGGAAGGCGGGAAAACTTAGGGAGAAACCAATACAGTATGGGGGTACACTTGGAACAAACCATGACAGAATAAAAATGTAATAAAACATACAAAAAACACAACTCCACACCACCCTGTTCCTGCTGGCCACAATATTCTGACACAAAAGGCCAGGAGGCCAATGGCCTTTTTGCCCACCTGGGCTCATGGTTTCCGCTGGGAGCACTGCAGGGGCGTGTTGGGACAGGTGGGCAGGAGGAATATATCCATGGAGTTACACCCATGTACATCTGTGATGATCTACCTGATGGAGTCTAATAATCTTTCACCAGTGGTAGACAAAAATGGTACTAAATGTAACTAAAAAATACAAATTGGCTGCATTATATTTAAACAGAATTTGAAAAGACTGTTGGAATTGCAACTGCCATCATTGCCTTGTGTTGTCCTTTGCAAATCCATCTGTTTCTTACCTTATAACCCTTATAACCTTTATAACCCTTATAACTCAACTAGAAATCTTGCCTTGCAGGGCTCTTATTTCTACCTACAAGCATATTTTCAGCCATGTTTCAAAACAAAGTAAGATGATGTAGTGATCCATCTTTGTAAATCCTAGCTAATATTAGCACCATTATTACAGATTGTTCCTAATTAAGAGGGAAAACTAATCATTTGCATAAGTCATGGAAGATAAAAAGAGGAAGAGCTAGAGAGAAAAATCTAGCTAAACTTGTACTTTCTAAAGAAACAAGAAAGCAGCCAAAAGAATTGAGGCCAATTGTGACTAAAAGTGAGGACTCTATCTTGCAACAGATACTGGGTCTCAGTACGAGGTACTTTAAAAATAACTGTGATGATACATTACTAAAACCTCTGTCTGTAAAAAAAACCTCAAAGGGACATAAGAAGCTTGTACCAATACACAGCAGATTCTCAGAAAGCTGATATTTTTTTTTTAGAAAAGCTCCATGTTTAAAAAGTAATTATGGGAAGAAGGTATGTTTGTACAAAGGAGTCTGGCCTGAGAAAGATGCATCTAATTGATCTGAAATGGTGAATAAAACAGGAGAAGCAAGGTGGTCCTCACAGGAGCTCACTGAAATGGAGGCTGATAGCAAACAACAATCATATTTGCCATTTGCTCTCTTAACCTTGAAACTCAATAAAGAACAGAAGCCATGCTATATTAGACACCCTGTTTGCCACTATCTCATTTGAAAAGACAGCAGAAGATAATTATTTATTTCAAATATTTTCTGTGTTGCTTTTTAGGCAGAAACTTCATTATCATGACTCAGAATGTGTTTATTTATTCAGATATAATTTATTATGCATCAAAGTTAACTTTTCCACGTTGTGACCATATGAACACTGAACCAGTCAACCCTACAATGACTAAGGACCCATAACCTGCTGTATGTCTGACTTAGTGATTGACACTCTTCATCTGTCTGAGAAATTATTCTTTCACTCAAGAAAACATAATGAATAGATTTTAAATAATAATAATCAGGTTTTCCTATAGCAGATTTTGACCTTTTGATGAAAATTTGAAAACACTTTGACCCTGAAATGTCACACTGGTATATTCCTGGTCGATCCAGGAATCTCAATATATAAAGAAGAAAAGGGGTATGAGACACAGAATTCATGAGTCAGACACAGCCAAACAGCCAGCCATGTGTCAGCTGAAGTTGGAAACACAAAATAATTTGAGTCTGAGCTTCCCCAGGAGACACTTTCATGAACATTTCATTGAATGATAATTTTTTCCTTTGAAACAGCCTCAGGAGATTTATTTATTTAATTAATTATATATTTTTGTGAATTGGGTGAGTTGTTGGCAGAGGAGCTATAGATATAAACACTCTTCCATTATAGACCAGCTTGATTTTTCTCAGGAACTGGTCATTTAGACATGAAGTATATTTCCTTACACTAACCCTCTAAATCATTCAATTAATTTTTTTTTTTAAAGCAGAATTTATTTGTGCTTTCTTTTGCTTAATAATATTTTATTTATTTAAAGCATCATTATTTTTTCTCACCTTTTCCAATTTTGATAGATCCCAAATACAAAGGGAACACCAGCTCAGTTCTTAAAATAGTTTTTTAATAATATATATTTTCATGGACATTTTTTGGCTGGAAATTATGTGAGGATATTTTTATTTCCTGATATTTTTCCTCCCAAGAGGCCTCTTCATCTGCACTGAGAAAAAAAAAATGCTGCTGTTTCTGTGCAGTAAGGCTTTTTTCTCAGAAATCACTGTCTCAGAGCCTGAGGGTTCTGTGTTATGGCTGGACTTTTTGTCCAAAGAGTTACTTCTGACATGGGGTGCCAGGGCAGATTTGATGGTGGTTTTTGGAAAGCCAGAGACTATAGAAAAGTAGGTATTTTTAGCATTGTGGAGTAAAGAAATGAGACTAGAGAGTTAGAGAATTTTAGGTAGCTAGCTCTGAAAAATAAGGGAAAAAAAATCTCTAGTTATTAAAATAGTTTCTTATGGGGCTTAAGTCTTTAGGAAGTGGTACTATCCTCTATGTTGTATTCTTGGTTAGTTGTCAATAATTCACGTTTGATTAGAGCAGCAATTCAGGAGAATAAAACCTAAATTAAAGCACCAGCTCTCACATTTTAAATGCATCCAGATGCAGAGCTTTGGAAGGAGAAAGTTGGATTTCTTACATGGTGCCAAACAGGGAAACAGCAGCTGAATTCCTGCATGGATGTACCAACCCACTGGAT